AAGGCTTGAGTCTCATTTGACTAAGGTCCATTTGTATCCCTCATCGCAGTGCAAATGGGCTTTAAAGGGGTTGTAAATGCCAAGGCTGCAGTGTAAATGTAAATCAAACCCTAACTGTCTGTTCATATCCACACCATTTGGTGCCTCTTTCACTTTACACAATAACAATATTAGATTATAATCTCCTTAAACAGCTTAAAGTTTGCATGCCTACAACAGTCTAGGAGATGGAACACAGAAATACACGATCACTAGGGTCAGCAAATGTTGGTGAGTTTTAATCAAAAAAGACATTGTCCAGAGATTATGTATTGGCCATCTTCGGAAATTTAAAAATAAACAGGCTCTGATCCTGCAAACATTCATGCTGGTTGTCCCATTAAACAAATACAGAGTGTTTCTAGGGTGAGTCCTGCAGCATCTCACAAATGCACCTTGCAGAAACTTATGCCCATTATAAGTAGCTTCAACAACTGGAATGAATTAGGAGTAATAAGGCTTCATTGCTTTTACTCTGGTCTCGCTCCTGCAGACACCCACCAAAGTGAAAACTGATTCACCGCCTACATTCAGGCCCATTACTATTAACAACTCAAAGAATATTGATTCCACCAGTTGCCTGTACTGTGCAGAATATACTGACAGTCATTATAGCAAAGCAGGCTAATGCCTGGTGATCTCGCTGGTTAATCGTTAAAGTGGTTGAATCCACCATTGGACCTGGTAGAAATTCTTGTTTCAAATTGTCTTTTTCCCTCTATATTAAATGCGTCACTGTAATTATGTGTCATTTGTTCCGCACACTGATGTACTGGCTGCACAGTACACAGGCACCCCTTACCTCGAAGCACTTACGTAACACACTGGCAAGAGTAGCGTGTCATACCTCCCTCTAGTGGACGATCCCCTAGAGCATAGCAGCCTACTACTGCTACTAGCTAATGGGTTAGCTCAGAGAGAGAGATGCTGAGGTGCTGACCCCTGCTAATGACCCATGGGTGGAGGTAGGGTCATTTATACTTAGAATCTGAAAGATTCAGAGATGACAGGATGCACTGGGAAACATTTTAGTAGGTTGATTAAAAGGTGCTTCCTTTAGTGCTCATAAAATGCCTTGTAAGATGTGCAGCCTGATACCCAGAATCCCAACCCATGCATCCCTGGACTCCGTGGCTGTGTGCTCCCAAGCTCCCAGCACATGCCTCCTGGATATCCTGCCTGTGCTTCCCTGCACCCCCAGACCATGCAGCCTGTATACCTTGTCCATGACCCTCCATTTCACACCTGTCCTAAGGGCATGTGGCAGCGCCAGCTTATCCTCACCTCGAGCTGGGAGAAGGCCTTTCGGATGCTCTTCCACAGCCCCTTGAGCTCCGTGCGGACTCGTATCCAGAAGTGCCGAGCCTGGCGGTACCGGGCCTGCCGGACGTCCCTGACAGCGCACAGGTAGGGGTTGGGGGCATTGCAGGTCACCTTGGCATGGTCGCACTCACGGTGCTTGTGGCTGCACTTGCAGTGGCCATAGCTGCAAGCCACGCGCTGGAAGCGCAGGGCGTTGTAGTCGTCCACATCTAGCTGCAGGCCGGGCCTCGTGTAGGCAATGTCCCGCACCCGGGACATGCTACCCATCTCACAGTTGCAATACCACTTGCTCCACGCCAGCCACTTGTAGCGGGTGTCTCCCACGCCGATCACTCCTCCAGAGCCCATGGTGTTGCTCAGGACATCGTTGCCCGTGGTGACCTCATACCCTCCGTTGCTGCCGGTGATGACCTCATACTCTACACCGTTGGCTGTGGTGAACTCATAGCCTACACCGTTGCCCGGGGTGACCACTTTCTTGCTTGAGACCTCCAGGCTGTGCCCACCAACCTCGGGCGTGGTGGCCCTAGCCAAGGCGGCAGAGAGTGTCTCCATGGCGGTCGAGGCTGTCGTGCCATTGATCATGGTGGAGGAGGAGTGGGCGGTGGCTTCTTGGGGCTGGTCGCGCTCCCCTGGGCCTACAACCAGGGCCAAGGCCACCTGCAGGGCCAGGAGCAGGGCCAGGGCACAAGGGAGCGGCCCCATTGTCATGTGGGGGGGCGAACCCCCCCCTTTCCACAGGATCCTCTGGGAGGGGACTGGAGTACCTCACAGGGGATGGGGAGACCCCAGGCTCCTAGGAGGGTTATGGGCGGGGGGGGGGGGGGGC